GCGCACTGCATTCCGTCATAAGAAATGCATAAGGCCCTTCCTTGTTTACCTGTGATAATATGAAAGATAAACTTGTTTCATCAACATTTTGCGTACTTTTTAAACCTGGTGCGACGAGACTGGTACAGTTGCATTTTTCAGCCACTACATCGGCAATACATTCTTGGAAACAGTTATTCTTTGTGTACTTCGTATAGTATTTCAACTCAGCTTCGCGACTGTCATCGCTAAAAAAGCAGCGACGTCGGCCCTTAATCAAAACACCCGTAATTCATATAACTATTACCCTTGGTTCACTAAAATTAAATCAAAACTAACCATGTCCATTTCCTTAATGTCGCCATCAGCCAGTAGAACAATGGGATTGAGAGAAATGAAAACTTCATGCCCGAAGGGCATTGATTTTCCAAAACGTTTAATTTGAGGCTCGTCAGAAGGGTGGTTCACGGTAAACTATGTTCTCATTTATTATAAATTTATATGTAAAATCTAAATATATGAATGTACAATGCATTTAGACGTACCATAAATCCATCCCCTTCGCCATGGACACACGCTCTGTTCACTATCTCGTCTTTTATGATGAACGACAGACCCAACATTTTTCCTGGAGAGGTTTGTCGCCATGGAATACGAATTGGACTTGTAACTTTTGGTTGTTCTTGTCCAATGTCTTGATCCAGATTGGCCGTCCTATAAATGTTTAGTTCTTCGCTAGTGTATTCACCTTCTGCCAAAACGGTATGAATTGAACGGACTCTATAAGTGTGCAACATGCAAGTAAGAAAAGTCAATAAATTGATTGAGTAGCTTTCAACATATTTGTAGATACGAATACAAAAGGACAAATTTAACATTTGCCACAAAAATTTATCGGTGGTTACGAACATTAGACTTAGGGAACCCTTCGACTTACTTTCTGGTAACTGGTCCTGGGATACCGTTGAACATGCAGGTACTACCCCACTCCGAGTAACGTTTTTTGAACAGTAGCCCACAAGGGATTGATTCTTCATTGAGAAAGCAACCAGCGATTGCGTCTGAGCAATTAAACGTTGCCTGCATATGAAAATAGCTTGTTATGATTGCACTCAATAAAATGCAGACAACTTAGCTGTTATTACAGAATTAAGAAACGGAATAATTCTCCCCTGCATTGCCTCTGTGTCCGGATCATCCATCACGTAACTATTGCTCACAAATATTCTAGAATTAGGATTATTGTTGTTGGGATTCCTAACATCGTTCAATCCCGAAAAGGTTGACTTTACGGAACAGGTTTGATCGATAACTTGCAACACCGCGCCTGTGTCATCCATATTCCAAACAGATCCATTCGCCGTTAAGACTTTTTCGTTGAAGCCAAGTCGTTCAAAATTACTATGAAAAATCAATGTTAAATTAAACTCATTCGGCGATTCGGGTTAGTTACCAGTCGCCTGGCCCTAATCAAATATTACAGAACGCTTTAACCTATCTCTTGTGATTATCCTCTGGCCGAAATACACATCTCTTTCTAGCAGGGGTTATTACGTCCATAGGATAGATTTGGATATCTGATAGATAGATAGATATGGATAATTTGGATGAATACAGTCTCGAGGTATATGTCTTTGTATTCGCTTTCTAGATACACGAAATTAATATCACATGGGTCCCCTTAATACAAGATAGTACCTTGGTAATTAATAGGATTACGTCCTAGTAACGCTCCTCTGCACATCAGAGTTCTGACTACCACAGGGTGTGCCAACCCCCAGAGTGGTCAGGTCAAATACCACCGCCCACTTAAAGGAAGGGCTAGCAGAGACCTGGTGATTATTTTAAATAGGTGCGCACACAAGTCTAGTGTTGACGGAAAAATACTATGCAAGGGGTATAGAGGACCTGCTGCCTCAAAATAGGTGTTATAATAAGGTTATGTTCACCCGACTAAATAGGTTAAATTACCAGTATGCAAGTATAGACGATTCAACGTTGACGTTCTTACCTATGCGCTTCCTGTAACGCAGTATGTTTAAATCCAGCGGGGTGACAATTATGGTTATGGTGAAACCTGGGAAGTCAATATCCATAATTTCCACTTCCTCTGTTTCCGTAGACACAACCAGTGGATGCCCCATTGTTCTCTTCATTCCTTCTTTGATAATAAGGAATACAATGACGCAGCACAGCACAACAATAAAAACCCAAAAGGCCCTGAAATAAAGGAAGAAGATCGTAAATTTATTTCCACAATTAAATCACTTTGGAGAAACCATTGAACAGAACTCTTAGTCCACACTTATCCAGCCTACCCGAAAGAACGAGGAAATTACTAACCGTGCAGGAGAAATATATTTTATGTACAATTCTCTTAGGTAAGTTTGCATAAAGCAAGATTCCACTTATGAAGATAATTTTTTATGTAAAGTAAGATGTCACAATTAATTTACTTATTGTGCAATTTTCTAAAGTGAGCAAGATGAAAGTCCTTCCAATCCTCCTGCCGCTTGTCTGCACTTTACTGCTAGGCAGTATCAATGCATACAAGGGCATGTATGGTGAAGAGGTGACTAGCGTGGAAATTGCAGCACGAGTAAGCCAGGACGAGTCCGTTGGGGACTGCATGTGTCCGTCACATGTTAACCAAACAGGGACATATTTCCAATATTGTGGACACGAGTTAACCCCACCCGACAAATGTAGCCCTGAAACCATATACCGATGTGTGGACAAGCAAAAAAGAGCAATTGAGACGAACGGAAAATGTGCAAAATTTAAAAAGAAATGTGTGCCACACACAGTCAAAGACAATGGTGAACCATGTACGATGTGTGTACGTCACAAATACAAAAAATGTTTGGCATAAATTACCCCCCAGAGTTGTGCTAGATTTGACGGAAAAGTCTAAATTGGATTAAATATGCTGTTAATAAAAAGTTGAATAAAATTTTATTATGGGATAAATTTACGCACGACATGGATGAGGTTTTAGAAAACAAATTTGGTTGTCTTATTGGGTCAAGCTGTCAGCAATCTAATTGTTGCCGTCATTAGGGCATAAATCATAAAATTTTATAGCTGAAATAAAATATGCCGTGTCAACGTTTGGTCAAATTTTGTAGGTTCAGTCACTCTCAGGATTCACAAAAATAAAGTCATATGAAGCTTACAGAATAAATATGACAGATTATTTGTGACCAAACGGATTCTGCACAGCCTTCATGCAAACATATCCGTGATTATTTCCCACATTTAAATTAGGCATCAAATAGTTATCGAAAGTATGTAGAATTTATAAGTAATTAGAATTTAGCCATAGATCCTTATACAAAAGAGTATTATTATTATTAGAGTATTGACCTGGTAAGCGGATGTAGCCCAGGTTTCACAGCTTGGCGAAAACCAGGAAGTTTTTGGCAAACTTGAACCCATCCAGAATCTGGGGATGGTTGCCATGACATCAAATCTATCCAGCTCCTCCGGAAATTTTCATATTGTTCGTTTGCCATGGAAAACAGCATGCGATTAAAACCACGATCAGGGTGCACAGCCTCTTCTTGGTCCGGCCCGTGGGGTGGGATTGGATGCATTTCGATATCCATGACTACGAAGGTCAGTTGATTTCACTTTGAACAATTTCGTAAGCTGGTAAGCAAAACAGACGCGTTGGGCGAATTATTCGCCTGGTTAGTGTTCTTTGAATTACATACGTTAATGTGAATACGAGGGACCTAATGTCAAAAGTTTTAGTATACTCACGTACACTTTTTCACTTTAGTTTGCATTTATGCACATCAAAGATTTGGTGTACGAAATTATGAAAATTAGCTACTTGAGAAGAAATGTTTTGAGTATTTATTGCCAAAAACTGATAAATGTGATGATAATTGACATATATTAGTATGTCCAATGGCCGATTGGATTTAACCCTCTTGTTCAGTGTTCGCAAATAAACACCAAAGTTCTAAAACTTGTTAAAAAATTCATAGGCAATGTTTTTTGCACATTGCGAAATTTAGTGTTTAATTTACACAGTTAATTACTTTGCCCGAAATATAAAGATTTTTTTGTAATAGATCTTGATTTTTTTTAAATTGTCCAAAGAGACACTTAGAGTGAAAGTGGACAGTAGGCATGGGAACGAAGGTGTGGTTTGAGTGACGCATTGGCTTCCTGACCAGAGAGCCACGTATGATAAGAACAAAGGCAGAATTAAAAGAATGCATTTCCATATCCGGACATTGCTGGTGAGTATGTATGCAAGCTTCGGGATAAAATTTTACTAAGACGGAGTGAAACGGGACGATAATTACAGGTGAGGGTTGCAGGTGTCATAACCATTTGTTGATGTCCATTGTCTTCCACGTGAGTCGCTTTGTGTTCCCAATGCGAAATATGCATTTGTGCACAATAAGCCGGGTTAGACGTTCTGTCCTCAATTTCTTAAGATTTTAGAATATACAGTAAGATTAGTTTTGTTTCAAGAAATTTTTAAATGAACCTTTAAAAAATATAAGTTTATTATGAAACCAAATTTAATTTAGGTTTGAGCATTGCGAACTGAAATTATTATCATGACGATTTAGAGATGCATATTTTTCTCAGATTTGTATAGCAAGTTAATTGACAGAAAAATGACAGGACGAGAAATTAATGCGAAATTCAGATATGGTTTTGGAACTGGGAGATTGCACGAACTTCGGGATCCTTCAACTTGTAAGGAGAAATAGATCTCATCATGTTTACGTCTTTGCGTAAGACTGGTTTCGTTTTTCATTTTATTCTATTGTAGGTATCGTCTCAACGTGTGCCAAAAGTAACAAAAGCATGAATTTATTGATGGGCTCGACAAACTCACTTGTTAAATAAATATTAATTAAATTAATTTTACATTTAATTTGTATGTCTCGATATAGAAGCTATAATCATGAAACAATATAAGTATGTAATAATGATCTTTATGATTTGATGTATGTAGTATGCCAATTCACGCCAAAATCGAAAGAATCGCGCACTATTACGAATGCATTTATATTTTAATAACGGATCAATATTTTATACAACTTTTTGTTACATAAATTCAATCTAAATATTTATAATTTATCAACTTGTTAGAGCGTTTCCTAGGCTATTTTCTGCCCATGGTACCACCTATGCTCAATAGTAAGTCGAGCAACATAGTCGTCTCTTTCGGTTGGGAAATCCACATCGTTGTATGGCAGCCTCATAAGTTCCTAACCTACATCGAGGCCAAGGGTTGCCGCAAGATGTCCAAAGGCATCGGGGTGAACGAGTGTCGCTTACACCTTTGGATGCTTCACCACCAGGGGCAATTTGTTCACATGGTGGAAGTTCTTCCCCAGGGGAAACTTCATAACCTGTGGCAAATTCTTGACATGGGGGAAGTTCTTCAACTGCCGGAATTTCTTCTGCTAGGACCAAACCCGCGTCATCTGCTTGTCCGCTGTGGATCGTCAGAATCCCCATGGCGAGGATGAAAGTCAGAAATTTAAAATTCATGTTGCCTCGATTTGCAGAAACTGAAAGTATTATAAATTTAAAGGATTTGTCCATGCAAAATAATAATGAGTTCGAACCTAACCTTTACAATGAGTAGGTTTCTACTGTATGTATGTATCCAGAAGATTTGTCGGAAGTTCGGATGGGATCGATTTGAGTTTTAATCCTTTGCTGGGTCTGGTTTTATACCAAAATTTTACTACCTTATGTAATGCAAAAGCAGGCATACTATGCAATAACGCGACACCACTTGATGTCTCATTCCAAGAATTGGCGTAATACAGAGGGTGTCGAACATATAGCCTCCAATTGTGGTTCAAGATAACTGAACGGAATCTAGCCCAATATGTCATAACCAATACTCAAAAAGGTGTATTCAAAAACTGCCATAAAACATCAGTATCCCAAGATTTTATTTACAACATACTAATATGGAAACTATTGATTGTATAAAAAACCTTCTGTAATGTAAGGATGACTATAAGCCCAAAAAATTAATGGGTCCAAGAAATCACTACACTAGACGAATTATTCTTCAATTTTTACAATTACAAAGTAAAATAATAATTTTTAACAAATTCTACAAAAAACAACAAGCCTATCTCCTATACACTGATAAAATAAATTGGCCACCCTCTGTGTGTTCGTAAAACTTATGCAAGTAATAAAATCGTACTCCGAATTTATCTTTCCGTGAAGCTAAATAACATTTATTGTTACTTTTCCGTGAAATAGATATATGTAAAGTGATGGGTGATTTTTTTTTATTAATTTGCAAGCTTAAATTTATTTAATTGTGCAAGAGAACGGGAGCATAATGTATAATTATGTAAATATTTATGAGTAAGTAGAATGATTGTATGTATACGGATTTTGTTATGAAATCGATCCCATGATTTATACACCCGACAAATAAAACTTATTCCAGATCCACCCGAGCATTATGTAATTGATCAAGGTAATTCTTCATTATTTTGTCCGTGACTCATCCTCAGCTGACGGATGGATGTTCCAATAGTGTGCAGAGTTTATTTGCGTCACAATTATGTGTGTCAATAGAAATTTTTGTGTGACAGTTGTGCTCATAAAATTCTGTAGTTATGAATTTATGATATAATTCAAGGATGTCATACAGCATTGCATCTTGTCCATATATGTATGCATGTATGTGTGTAATTTATGTATGATTGATCCACTCAAAAAATGTTTTTAATTTCATGCTAGAAAAATCATAAAAAGGTTGGCTGAGGTAAATTACTGATAATCACCTTTGCTGCTTTAACAAGGCCGATAATTTACACACATTACATTATATTTTAGATTTTTTAACACATTTTCTGCATGTATAAGCAGTGCATGATTAATGTAGTGGTGTTTCATTGCGACTGCGACATTGAATTTAGTTATATTTAACTACAAGCAGGCTTTGCGATTCCACCCGTTATTAGACTACCACCTTAAATATGTGATGGTTTAACTGTTCACCTCAACCTCGAACTATGTAAATGGTAGATTTTAAGGAAACCTTGCATCTTCAGAGTTATATCATGCCACAATAAGTTTAATATGATATTTGGGTTTACATTCATACATACATTCATATAACAAACAACAATTACTTAGCAAGGATTGAGAATTACTTTATTTGCCGTGTAACCGATTTATTGCAAAAAGTATAAACCTTAGACCTCTAGTTTTTAATAAATTTGATAGCATATTTAGAACTTTGTCTATAAATAAATCTAGTAAAATTGAGCTATCGATTTGATAAATGTCATAGCAAGAACTTTTCCCTTAATTGAGAAATTGATTTAAACTGTCAACGAATAATTTTTTGTATTTGTGACTTTCAGATTAATCGATTATTTCCTGTTTATTGTAGTTCGAATGTTTTGTTTCGATTGAATTGTATTTACTATGAAATTTGGCAAATAATAAATCTGACTATGACAACATAGAAGTTTAACTCGCCTAAATATAGTGCTGTTAACAAGCAAGCCAAGCAAAGCTTCTCGTCGGCTTGGCTTGATTAATTACAAGCCTAATTTTGCCAATAACAAAAAATCAATCGGTAAAATGACCGGATCTATGCGAAATAGACATCGGACATCCCAAAAAGTCAGAACAAGTCCAAGATAGCTGATCATCTGGGGTCTGTGATGGCTTGGCTTGTATATAATTGGTTGAGGAGAGCGGACCTGTCTTTCGTACTACAATGGGTCACACTTCAGGCCAACAACTACATGGGGTACTGTACCCCACCCATCGTCAAATCCGTGGGATGCACCTTACTCGAAAATGAAGATTATTCCTTCCAATAACACTCAGCTCCTGCGAATGGTGCTAAAGTTGTCGAAGGATGGCTCACTGACAAGATTATCCTCGTCTCAATAATGGCATTCCGCATCACACAATCCCAACCGTCGATTACGACGTATGATCAGAGTTATAGGACATGGCCTGCTCTAAACCACACCCAAGTGTTGAGTCCTGGAAATGGTCACTGATCAATGCTTGGCAGATTATCCAATGGAAAGCATGCGTGCCGCGATAACAGGTTGGCACCATTGACTTCGAGCAATTATTAAGGGTACGGGTGGAAATTTCTTACTCTGATTTTAAGTATTTGTACCTAGATAGTTTGTGTATTAAAAACATGCATAAATTATTAAATTGGTCCAACGGTTATATGAATAAATTATATGAATAAATATGAATAAATTTAAGTCCAAAAAATTTTTGGACAAACGTTTTTGGCAAAAACATATGCTTTAACTACGTAATGCTCAGCCAAATGAAATTCTATCGAAAATAAGTAATTCCGCGAAATGGGGAAGGACCGCAATCTCATATCTACGCGATTACCCCAATTGTCTCAACATATATACAAATTATGTACATTCATGTATGGACATATATACATAGGTAGGATAATTATTGTTTTAAATAATTGGTTTCTTGAAGGCTCCATGTTGGTGTTGGTAATTGCATGACTAAACAAATTGAGAATTTGGTATAAATATCAGTGTGCTACATATATTTCACGTCTGTACCAATTTTTAACAAGACAGTCAGGAAAATGTGAAAACAGTAAGAAATATGTATTTTACCATTAAAGTTTGAAAATGGAGAATACTATTTTCTTTCAGATTCAATACCTCCGGATACTTCATGCTCATGATTTACATACAATTCTGAGCATTATGACACGAAATGTGTCCAATTTTGCACGTTTTTGCTCGAATTTCACACGTTCACCTATGAGCGCACGTAAATCGTAAAGATTATTGGAATTGAGCCGTATTGCAAGTTTTTCTCATAATTACATGGAGAAAACGAACTATGAAATTCTCAACTTTTAAAAAGATTATTTCAAATTTGTCCAAGGTTTATTTTTTCTTACTTCGTCATACTTTCTCCCATTGCCACAGATTTGCGTAGGTTGGAAAAGCTATTTTCCCCATCTTTTTCCACCCTCCGGACAATAGTGATTTATACCGTTTGAAAGTTTCAAATTGAAACACTAGGAAATATGCATGAACATATATATCTGTAAAGTAAGGCAAAGTTAAATATATTTTCCTTCAAACTACTTTTTCCGTGTTACTTGATGAAAACCAGTCATGATATGTACTGATCGAGTTATAACACATAAATAAACGCTAAACAAACAAACAAACAATACATACATATACCAATGTATATGTAGGTTCACTAATATTCTAATAATGTCACTATATTTTCGCAAGGTATTATGTAGCCGGAGGTAGCTAACACTTTGTCCTTGTCAAGCTTGGGCACCTAATTAAAAAATTTGCACATTTTCAGCAAAATGAGTTCCTCCCAATTTGATGAGTCTGATCTTTCAAGGTTTGTGTACTTGTTTCGTATTAAAAAAACTTTAAAGCTTTATTAAAACTCTGTCAAAATACTAGTTACTACTTCAAAGGAGTCAAGCACGAGGATGCCGTTGCAATTTTAAGCGATCAAAGCGAAGGTGTATTTCTCGTCCGAGATTCCACCCGTGGCAGTGGCTACGTTGTTTGTGTCAAGTATGCTTTTACAACACAGACAATCTAATTAATTTAAAATATTTTACACCCGTAATTAAGGGCTGGCTTATAGGCTAGTACATAAATAACAGCATGATACCAATAGGTAAAAGGCTTTCAAATACTTATGCCATCTGGCAAATAGACACCAAAAATGTATAAAAACGGCGAAAGGGAATATAAAAAGTCATAACAACTAGCAAAAAGACAGCCTTTTTGTACATACTGTATTTAACAGCCAAATAAAAATTATAATTTGCCCGTATTTTTGCCCGGGAAATTTCGCGAGCGCCGAAGGCGCGAGCGGCTTGGGAAACTTTTGAGGTTGTCCCCCCGGTCAAAATCATCTTCCGCCGCCCCTGTCTCTCGGCAAAGTTTTCGCCACCGCGAGGAACTCGGGAATTTTTAGCGAAAACAAAGAAACAATGCCCATCTTGGTGGATGTCCTTTGCAGCAAAAGATTCCGTTTAGGTGGCACCGTGTATGAGCATATTTTCCAAACTTTGCAATCCGCCGTGGGATCACTGGGGGTGGGGGCAGACGAAGTTGAAAAAATTGCTGCTGCTGTGGAAGCCTTGTTTAAAACGAAGGATGACAAATTTGAAAATATCATGAAGTTAATCTTTAATTTGGCACCAGTTGAAGCAACCAAGAAACGCAGCAATTTTGCGGATTTGGATTCCCAAACCAAATTCCTGTCCAAGGTTGGCGCATCTTTTAAAGAATACATCAGCCAGACGGGATCTTTGGAGGAGACTAAAGAAAAACCCGCCTATTTAGCCGCGCTCACTTCAATTTTAAAATTGGGCTTCGAACTCGGACAGGATGACACCCTGAAGCTGGTCGGATTACTGGAAAAAGATGGAAAAACACACCCCGATCTATTGTACGTTTTAGAAACGGCGCTTCATCAATTGAAGGGGAAAGATGGGACTGCAAACGACCCCGCGAAATGGATGGATTTCTTAAACGATGCCAAACTCGATGCCACTGGCCGTCTCGCGGCCGCAATTCTGGTCAATGTCAAGTTAACGACGGAGCAAAGGGTAGAATTCATCAAGGACAAGGTGAAAACTTGGGACAAGAGTGGGCAAGGGAGGATTCTCATGTCAGTTTTTGAACTGGCCGAAGTAGACGGGTTTCCAGCGAGCGGGATAAGTCCACTCGTTCCTCTGTTGAAGGAATCCGAATTGACGGATTCAATCTTCCAAGCGATCAACGTTTGGGTGAAGAACGAAAAAAATTTCGACATTTCCGACCCGACCATGGCAATTTTATCGGATCCAGAATGAATTTTTGATAACACGATCTCCCAGTTGTTCGCCTTCTATGAAACTTTGATTAACCGCGGCACAGGTAAATTCTTAAAAATAATGTTACCCTTATGAAAATTAAATGTACTATCAATCAATCATAATAGTATGATTGATTGATAGTACATGGGTGGTTTAAATGCCAATCTAAGGAAAATTGTTCAATGCAAAAAATTCAAAAACTTGCATGTACTTT